ATTTTTCAGGAATAAGAAGATTGATAAAATTTTTCACATAAATTAACTCCAATCTATTGATTATTTGCAATTGTTTGAATCTTTATAGAGTGAAATAAATAAGAAATCTTTCTACTTATTTGAAAGAAAAGATTAAGACAAAAAATCTGAAATTTATATTATGACATAGAATTCATTTGAAGAAATGTTCAATGAGGAATTACTAACTTAACCAGTTTTCCCAGCATTTTATTTTGATTATGCTAACAAAATAAACATTGATTCAAGTTAGGTTCAATTGTTCATAAAAGGAGAGTAAAAAATGGTTGGACAATTCTAAATTGACATAACAGATTAACTAATAAAAGAATATAGAGAAATTAAAAGTAAAAATAATGAAGAAATAATTAAAGAACTCTCAATTAATGCCTTAAAATACTTAAAATTTGTAGCGGGATATGGAACAGGGTTTGGATTATTCTAAAATAATTTGGTTGCACTCGAAACAATTGTTAAATAGCTATCAATGTAAGATAGGCAATTCTTACCTATTTTAATTTGTCAAAATCGTCTTGTTGGTGAATCTCCTTTTGACTTTTCTATCAACAATCATCAGCAAAAGATAATTAATCTGATTCTCTCAATGATAACAAAATATTAAGATCATATCATGTTTAACCAGTTAGTTGATAAAAATTTAAGTGAACTTATCAAACAATAAAATGATTTATAAGAATACTTCGAAAGTAGTTTGGCTAATTATGAAATCATTGACTAATCATTTCTAAGTCAACACCATAATGATAAAGAAATGATTGAAGGTATATGTTTAGATCATCCTAAGGATGTCCATGAAAAGTATGATTAATTATTTGGGAAGAAATTGAATGATGTTGAAAAAACTAATGACTCCGTAGTATCCATTGAATATCATTTGATCAACTTACCTGTGACATTAAGGTAAAATCCATAGCAGCTAATGAAAGTACTAAGTGAAACAGATAAACCTGAATACTTTGAAAATAAAGTCATCCAAACAATTATTAAATTTAAATGGAACGAATACACAAAGTCATTTTATTAGAACAGATTCTACGCTTACTTAATATTTATGGCCTCGTTTATTTTTGATATATTCTATTCAACTTATGCCACTTAAAATGATCTGAATGCATCAGATACAAAAGAAGATGCTTAAGAATTAGAAATTTTGAAGCCTAATATATGGGTGAAAATTTCTACTAAAGTAACATGTGGTCTTGTGCTTTTATACTTCTTAATTTATGAAATCAAGCAAATTAGAGTTCAAAGAAGCCAATACTTTAATGATGGATGGAATTACTTTGACTTTTCTCATATTATTGCATTCACAACATTCTGCATTCTTGACTTTACAAATGAGAGCCAAGATAATTTAATCTTGATAAAAATCCTGGTGATAGTTTTATCTTTTATGAAGCTGTTTTTCTTTTTGAGAATCTATGATGGCTTTAGTTTCCTTGTTTAAATGATGGCAGGTGTGTTTAAGGACCTCAAGTACTTCTTGCTATTTTTTATTATTTTTATCCTACAGTTTGGAATGATCTTCTTGGTCCTTTTCAAAGCTTAGTAAATAGATGAGTATAATGGAGTGAACAAATTAGCTTATTTCTTGATGGCTTTTAGAATATCATCTGGTGACTTCCAGCTAGATGATTATCATAGTCAAGAAGATGGACTAGTAATCTTTACATGGGTAATCTGGTTAATAGCAGTTATGACTTTGAATATTGTATTCATGAACTTCATAATTGCTGTGATATCAGAGTCTTATGAGAGAGTCATGCAAAAATTAGTAGCTGAGTCATATAGAGTTAAAGCTAACATGATTGTTGAAAGAGAGCAACTATTCAATGCTGCTGACTTAAAAAGCTAAGAGTATTTCCCAAATTTTATAGCCATCAGAAGACCGTTGAACACTGAATCTAATGAATCTGGGGAATGGTAAGGATTTATCAAAGATCTTAAGTATACCATAAGAACAACAGCAGCTAAGTCTAAATCAGAAATCATTCAAAATCTGCAATCTCTTCAAACTTTAAATCAAACAAACAACTAAAGGCTAGAGAAAATTGATGAAGTATTAGAGTAAAATACAAGGCAACTTTGTAATAATGAAACAATCATTAGCGAAGGTCTTGAAGGGAAAATTTCTAAGTTGCTGAAATAGTAGCTTGATCAAGCCTTAGAGAATACCAATAATGATGTCAGGCTATTGAAAAATGAAGTAACAGGACTAGATGCTAAAGTTGATGGACTCGATTCTAAAGTTTTGGGACTAATGGAAGATATGGAATTCATTAAAAGTTCATTAACTTAACTACTTCAAAAATATAATCAGTGATTAAAGCTGATTATCGAAACTGAAATCAGCCTTATACTGAGTTTCCTATCAAGTACAATTGTAACTTGCTTTTGCCTACTA